ATTAAGCATAAAAAGTGAATAACTTTTGATAATTGCGGTGTCAGCATTTTGGCATTCCATTTTGCGCTCATTCAACTAGACGAGCATATATTTAGATTGATGTATATATATGTATGTGAATACGCAGATTAGTGATGTGTGTTATTTTTATACGCGGCGTATGAGTGATCTTAAGGGACAGACATTTATAATATTGAGTTGAAAGCTTTAGTTTTTCAATTTTGACGCATATATAAAATTTAATAATCTTTAGATTTATAATATCAGCACAATATATATTTTTTTTTTCCAAATTGATAAAATTATAGATTCAAATTTTTGAAAATTTTTAGAACAATGAAATTGGAATTTAAGATTTTACAAAATCATGGACTTTCTTGTGCAGATCTAAAAATATAGAGATTTCTGGAATTGAAGATCTTAACAAATTTTATTTTATTTATCGCATTTGGTCGCCAGAATGTATGCAACAGTTTTTGCTAGGTATTTTATTGTCGAGACATTCGTCTACTTTCATACTTTCATACTTGTTTGTATTATTATTTTTCTAGCAGCTGTTGATTTTCGCTTCGGGCGCCACCACTCGAGTTTCGAGATCTCATCCAACTTTTTTGGCTCTTATCACGTTTTTTTTTCGCTTAGCAATCATTTGCATAGTCACATGTCCTTGCCCACCACACGCCCTCTTTATACACACACACTTTTATTTACTTGATATCGCCGCTTGGGCCATGTTTAGCGTATTAATGCCAATTAATCATTCGACATGGGAATTCCAAATTTGTTTAACGGAATATTTTCGTGCAAAAAATTTAAGATTCCCGGAAGTTTGCACAATTGGGAATTGCATTTAAAATAATATATTTATGGAAAATTAAAACTGAATTATGCTCTATAATGCTATGCTCTCAATAATATCTTTAAAGAAGACATGGAATATTTTAAGAGCTTGCCGATAAGATTATTATAAAAATTAACTTATAAATATTTAAATACGACAGGGCTTAAAATCTGTGAGGGCTTCACAGAATATTTTCAAAAGCTTTTAATAAAGTTTCACAAGTAAGTTGCTTGCAAACTGCTAGCCAGCAAACAGAATTTTTAATTTGCTCTAAAATAGAGAAAACTTTGTTAAGTAAGAGCAGCTCAAGCTTTCGGTTAAGTCTGGATTTGTCTAAAATTCATAATAAGACTCAAGTTTAAAGGCAACAATCTGGAATCTGAAAAATAAATTAAAACAATTGAAAAGGCAAACAGAAGTAGGTACTCGAGTTCACAAAGATAAGGCCCCGAAATGAGAGATAGTGCAGCCACAATGTCGAGTCACAGGAATTCCAGCTCTGTGCTCCATTTATTCACTGCGTCTGGGAAGTCGAAGCCATTTAATTGTCAGTTCATGTCTATGGATACCCCCTCAGTTTCTGGGTTGTGCAAGTCCCACACGCACATGGTCGAAATTCTTGGCATAGTTAGGCAAATAATTCCATGTGGGTCGCACTCTAGTTATTTATATATATATACCCAACATATACCCAAAGACCCCGCGCCGAAGTCCCAAAGCCAACTTGAACAGCTGCCCAAAGTCGCCTGTCTGTGGCCCATGTGCATATCCATAAGCATATTCTTTTCTATATCTTTTTTTTTGCCTGTTTTTGTCTTTAATAAAATGTGCCAGCAGCTGCAAAAAATTGGCAGGCACAAAAAATGCTCGAAATGCACTTTTATTTTTCATTAATTTGTACTTAAGGTATTTCTACCAAATATTTTTATTTTAGAACCCATAACAAAGCATACAGCAAATTGTTTTCTGCTATATTTAGTGAAAACAAATGCCAAAAACATGGGTGAAATAAATCAAATTAAAATGCAGTAGCAGCGGTAGTAGATATTACGCAATCAACAGGCTCATACGTCACAGAGTGATTTTCGAATGAAATTGAAAACGACGAAGCTCGAATCGCCTAGTATATATATATGTATATATATGTATATACATATGAGTGTTAGAGTGGGCCGATTTGCAATATTGCGTCGCTTCCAATTGAATTTTTATGACGTGAGCCCCAGTCTCAATTTTGTTGTATTTTTTCAGCGAACTTTTATTTACTTATTCTCCGCTAACACTCATCTTCTATGGCATTTCCTTTGTCTTTCTCATATCTGTCACCTTTTCTAGTTTAAAGCCATAAATAAATAGGAGATTTACGGGAAAAACAAAGACTGAATTTTTAAATAAATATATACAATTAGATTTGCCTTATCTTTATGGAAATATTTTTTATAAGCCAATGTAGTATTTTCTAACTTGTAAATAATATAAATATCTTATCATTATATTCAAATTACTAATAAGAAATCTGGAAAACACCGTACTCATCTGGAATCCATCGAACAGTTTGTTTATGACAACAAAAATCACCCAGAGCACATCTCTAAATATAAACAACTAACAACGAATGGCTGAATCATTTCATTGCCAGTATTGGATATTCGGTATTCCTAGCCCCTCAAGGGACATTACTCATACGCCCCACTGGCTATGATCACATCGCATCTCATGGCATCCCATCGCATTGCTTTTCAGCTGGCTGAGCTCATGCGCCCCTGCGTATGCGTAATGAGCCGCAAATGTTAATTGTTCTATAAACATTCGAGCCAGCAATTAGTAAGCCAGCAACAACAAGAAAGAATACGACTACGACAACGACGATGAGAGGCTTCCCCCAATCACACACAGAAATATACACACATTCACTGACTAAACTGGCAAACTGACAAACTGGTTGCAGCAACCTCGTAACCAGTTTTCTCGAGCAAAAATAAAAAGACCTGGCACAAGAGCTCAAAGAAAAAGAGGCTCAAAAGCGATGACGACGACATTGCCAATTTCAATTTGCCCTGCACGTAGAAAAAATCATATTTTAATAATTAATTTATTTCTTTGAACTATAATTAAATTAAAATACAGCTAAGGGTCTTAGGGTTTTTTAATATTATTAGGTGCAATAATGTAATCGTCGTTCTTTTAGATTTATTTTTTTTTTTACTCTATTTGGTAAATCTTAATTGGTGTATTTTATACTATGGGCTTAAAAAATGATTATAGAATTGTAAAATTAGATACATTATCGGAAAATTTCACTGTGTAAATTTAAAGAGTGTACATTTAATAAAATACCTTTAAACCATTTTGTAGTCTTTAGATTGGTTCTTTTATGAATTAATTTCTTAAATGCAAATAGTATTTGAAACGGGAAGTTTTGCTTATTGTTTTTATATTCTCGCTTTATTATCTCGCCGTGTATTTGTGGCTGCTGCTTTGATGCGCATGTTTCCGCTTTGGCCAGAAGCAGAAAAAAAGAAGAGAAGCTGCTGCCAAAGTTGGTCGCCAACAAGTCGCGGCCATAAACAAGTGCGGCAGGTGGTAAAAACGCTGGAACTTGGCGATGCGATTGGCGATGGAGATGCGTGCGCAATCGGGGCCGCGTTCTCGGCTTTCGCGGCCAACAACAGACAGGCTACCTGGGCCAACTTCTTTTCCGTTTTCTGCACTTGGCCAGGTTGCCTTTAGCCGCCAGCTGGCCGCCTTTGTCGCATTTCTGTTTGCCTGGTGCCTTCTTTAATTTGCATGCAGGTTTTTTCCGCTCTATCTCTCTTTTTTGTAAACTTTTTAGTACAATCCCCAGAGTTATGGATTTCCTTAGCATATTTACGGGGGCAGCGATTTCAAGAGGGAATCAGAATCGTTAGCTTATCGCTGATGCGTTCAAAGTGCAGCCACTCGAGGCGACTTAACTCGAGTGCCTTACACATCTATTCCACTGAGTTGACCACAACCGGACAGGCGATAAGCCGTCATCATGCCCCATTCAAAAACACACAATCGTAATTAAATGCTCTAGATGGGAAAATGGGCTACTTCCCGACACAGAGAAAAACTTAGAAAGTTGATGTCTCAAGCTACGAATGGTTCGATTCACTGCATTGAGTTTAACAAGAAAATCATTTCAAAACTAAATTACTTAAGTACTAATAAAAAGTGTTTACCGACAAATAGGAACTAATTTATTGTGAACAACTTATATATATGAAAGTTAAGTTTGAAAAGTAAAACAACCCTGTCTTTATCTATTTTTTATGCCAATATAAAAAGCATAAATTTTCCTATTTCTAATGAGACATCTAGGCAAGTTTCCCTAGCTTATTTCCGCATAATTGGGGTGTTCCCCACTTCGTTTGCCATCGTTTTCATGCCCCAACATTTGTTTATCGAATCGGAAAAGTGCGTCATTCGAGTGCTTTTCAGCAGCTGCTGAGAAAAACGAATCTGAAATATTTTTCATCGGAAGCGCTTGTTTGCTGTAAAGCATAAGGTGTATTTTTAGTGCCTTCATTGGGAATTTCGCCACAATTTGGCAAAAACATCTCGAGGTATTTTTGGCCACTCGTCAATGCGTTATTTCACGTTCACTTTGCGCGAAAATTTAGCAAAAATATTTCAAATTATATCGGTACGCGCAGAAAGAGATTCTCCCACAAAGCGTGCGTCTATTTTAAAATTAGCAAAAAAGAGAGCAACCGAATTGGCCTGTAAACATTATGGGTGGAAATGAGTTTTCAGCTTGGTTTGATGGCCTCCGTCTGCCGCCATTTCGGATTTTCCACGCCCCATGGAAATTGGCAACAGTTGGCTCTGCTTCTTCTCGGTTTTCCCCCACGCCATTTGAATACTTTATTGACTATGAAGTGTGTAAATGTGTATCTGTGTATCTGTGTGTCAGATGTGCTTTCCTCGGTTCGATTTTCCCATACTCTTTCGTACTTTCCTGGCCTTCGTTTTTGACGTCACCAAGTGAAATGCCAGCGGCTGTTTTGTGGGCGAGCTTTGTCTCAGCTATAACATTGAAAATGCACTTGAAAACTGTCTACATTGTCTGAAAGACTTTTTGAATTTTCTGTAAAATATATATTTTAATGTCTTTTATGTCTTTTATTTTCAGAATCTACTGTGAATTCACGCAAGAGTGCTTTGGAAACGGCACGTGAAAAACTTAAAGGTGAGTTAAGACATTACAATTTTTAAATAAGTAATAAGCAAATGCTTTTACTTGAATATATTTATTTAAAATATTTTAAGGGCAGCTGTAAAAATTAAATGTAACTCCAATTTACCGCGTCATTATTGATTCCCCATTTAGTAATTTAAATTCCCAAACTGTACAATATAAATACCATTGCCTATATAGCATTTGGTCTGATAACTTAATCAATTTATTTACCATGACTCAGAGTAAAACTGGCAATCTGTTACCAGATATCGCAGTTTATAAACCAAAGGCATTCTATAGTTCTCAATAGAATCAATAGCACCTACGAAAGAGAAATATACCAGGAGATTTATTAATGACCTTCAGGGGTCTATCAATAAAGTTTCCCGGAAAAAAAAAGAGAACTAGAAATGTTTATCTATGGGTAACTGAGGGGGCAGATGGAAGATGGGCTCCCACTCATGTCGAATGGCGTTTAATACAGTTGTTATGGTGCCAAGCACAAAAGCAATCTCACAGATACATAAGCGAGTGCTTAGCGATATTGATAAAGTGCGTGCTCTGTACATAGGCATGAAATAATGAAATAGAAGCGATGAGAGCTTCGGTTGATAAGGCCAAATGGCGTGATTCACGACAGAGTTCACACACCGATACTCTTGGCATATACTTCTACTGGAAAGTGAGGCAAGCAGATACATCTACACAAATCAGCAGCAATAAAGTATCTGCGTATCTTAATGTGTGTGTGTGCAAGCGTATCGGAGAAGATTATGCGATTATAGATACTTTGTTGAAGTCAGCCGCATTTCACTTTCGTTCCGATAAGCTAAAACGTGACGTAGATACCAATAAACATGATATCACTGCGATAACGTAACCGAACTAGCTCAGAACTTGGGTCATCCAGTCTGAAATAGTGGATATAAGAATATGATATAAGAAAAAAAGAGGAAGTTTGACCTAGTTATATCTTAATTAAAGTTTAGAACATTAATAACAATATTGAACTGCAAAGAATAAGAAAGTATTAAAAACTCGTAATTATTAGACACATTTAAAAGCACAATTTGGTAAAATGAGAATTTCCCTGGTCTAAATTAAAGATCCTTGAACTCAACAGAAATTTAAATCTCATGTTCATATTTTATATCAGTTTATTATGTACTCAATAGGCGGAGGCAGAAATATAATAGGTTTTAGTGTTATTAGATATGTACACTTTCAATGCTTCAAGACACCCTCGCTAAATAATAATCTAGTATTTTAATAGCTCTGACTGTAATAAAATTAAATACATTTTCTTATATTTAAGTTTCTGAAATAGCAAATCAAACTAAACGTATTATTAAAGAATAATTTTACAGAAAGTATCTAAACAAATATTTAAAGTATCTTTAACAGTATCTTTAACAGTAACAGTATCTTAACAGCATCTTAACCTATTTAAGAGATCAAAGATACATTTGTATGAAAAAGAAAGAAATCCCTTCAACGATTTTCACCAGAACTGACCTAGACCATCAGTACTACCTGCTCAGCCCAAAAATCTCTGGATGGGTGTAATTTGAATATGCTGCCATGCCGTTTTTAATTGCCGCCGTGCCGAAAAGTCTGACCTGTCCTGGGGATTTAGGCCCTTTTGCTGTTGGCCTAGCGCCGGGCTTAAGTGCGTCAAGTCAAGTGGCCCAGTAAGCCCTGCTTACATTTATATCCCTTTGCTGGCCATCGTCTATTGATGATTTTATGGGTTTTACCCGGGAAAATCTGCTGCTGACCGGCGTAATGATGCCATTCGGTCTGTTCTGGCTATTTTGTATTTTGTATTTCGTTTCTCGCACGGTTCCGTTCTGGCCAGGTAAGCAGCTAGCAAATCCATTGACGCAAGTGATTAAGCTGTCTCGCTGATGTCTGGGCCAGCAGAAAGGCAGAAACGCAGAAAAGCATAGCTAAACCGATTCAATTAGCCGACATGTGAGACTATAAACAGCTGCTGGCGTATGCAAATATGCGGCCATGATATGTGGCCAACAAAAGGCCCAAAAGCCCGTGCAGTTACAGCCAAGTGACTCGAGACTCGAGATGCAGATACTGAGATACATATGCGTATGGGCGACAATCAGAGAGTCTCTCGAATTTTTTATATCTGAACATTCCACGGCATATTTTCGTTGGCGTCGCTCGTCTGCGATCGCCGCGTTTTGCGTTTTATTTACTGCTCACGGTGCTTAATATAAAGCGATTTCATAGACGCTACAAGTACGTCGACAGAACAGACGTCGTGCCGAAGAATGTGTACAAAAGTATCTGTATCTGTATCTCTGGCGGACGCCTTGTATCTGTATCTGTATCTGTGCGAGCCCAGTCGCCAAACTGGCGATTCCCAATCAGCCGGAGCAGCAGCCAGAGGCATCGACTCTCGACTCTCGACTTGTGTACACATAACCGGGAAACCGAGTACTTTCGAATCTCAAGTACCCTGAGAAACACGAGTATCAAAGAGTGATCAGTCCAGGTTAATGGATTTTTCAGCAATAAATTGGCACTCCGAAAAGATTTTCAATCATTAAAACTTTTGTTAACACTCTGCAGAACATTGGGAAGTTTGTCTGATGAAGCCATCAGAATAATTTTCGAAAATATTTAAAAAGTACTCAATGAACCAACAAATACATAATACTTGATATTTTTGCATAGAATAATATTTATAAATATGTATTATTCCTTTAATTTCCACTTATTTTGAAGTCATTATCTTTAAACAAGTTTAACTTTGTTGTTCAATAAAAAAAATATATTTTATACTTCGAATTGTACTTCCTGGATTTACTTTTCAGGATACAGAAACTTAATTACCAATTGAATCGGACTAGTTTTTATTATAATACTATTTCAATTATACTGAGCCATTGGAAATAAAGATTTTATGCCGCTCTTACAACAGATGTAGTTTTAGTAAATACCTAGAGTTTATTAGCCTGCAGATGAAAACCCGAGTGTATGCTAATTCCACTTGATTCATAGTTTGCAGACCCAGCGGGCTCTTCTGATTGTTGTTATTGGCTAGCTGTGGTTGTGCAAATAAACTAAAATAACTCAAATCCGCACTGTGCGGCTGTTTTGGCTGGTTTTGATGATTATTCCACCTCACACCCTGGCGTTGAGTTACTCACACCAGGTTTTCCGTTGACTGCCGCCGGCCAAAAGCCAGTGTTGCGTGTCAACAAATGAGCAATCGACAATCCTATAATGGCCAAGTTAAGCGGCTCTGAAAAACACCCAACGGTCAATTCTGTTTGTGCCTATATAATGTCGAAAACTTGTAGTTGGCAGTTGACTAAGGTCTGGCCGGCTACGTTTATTTATTCAGTGCTGACGCATTCAGTCACTTTTGAATCGAGCCGAATCGAATCGAATCAAATCCACCAGTTCTTCACCACCATCACATTACCAGGCTGTCTGACTAAGAAACTCTGGAGCCAAAGCGATAGCCTTTCAATGGAAAGGCCACCTACTGATAATGCGGATCGAACTGTTGGGATCGAATGGGGATGAATTTCTTGGAAACCGGCTCTGATTTCTAGGAACTCATAATCTTATCTCTTGATATGTCGAACCAATGCCATGTGGTTGGCTTAATTTGTTGTAGATGATTTTAGATGATTCGTTAATCTTCATAAATATTTATATACACTAAGTTTCATTTTCTGGATTCGTTTGCAGATTGTCTAAACAACAACTGTAAAGTGTTTACCATTTAAGCTCTCAATTAAAATGAATTCTTAATCGGAAATCACTTGAATTATAGGAATTTTGTTTTTTTCAATATTTACAAATAAGAAATTGAATGAGCCTCAGAGCTATACTTACTATTTAAACAATCAGTGTTGGAAATTAAGCAAAGAACTGAATAACGTTTACACCAATGAAAAAGTAATAAATTGAAAGCCTTAGGTTAACTAATTGTCTCACCATTTACACACAATTAACTATAAATTTACATTAATTTTTTGTAAAATTCACTTATGCATGCATGTTCTTAAAAGGAATAGACACACCTTGATAAATGGCAGTGCCATCGATCAACGGAAGCATTATTCGTAATGCCGGGCACTCCCAATCCGTCAACGAAACTCCCCCTCTGGAGTGGATTTTCCCCATGACAACCTCATAATACTCGTTCTATATAGACGCAAATTGCCTGGCTGGCTTTTGCAGTCCGACTCCATCATTTGGCCATTTGAATTAAGCTGCTTCCAAAATCGATAACGCCCATAACTATGCAATGCTTAATTAGGCAGGTTGTTATGTCCCATGTAATTATTTGTGAAACGGAAATTCGGTTTAGGATAAGGTACTTATTAATGCTGCACAGTAAAAATTGAGATCAATATATCTAAATCCAAAAAAAAGCATCTAAATTAAAAAAGAATTTATATATTTCTAAAAAAGAATTCATGATATGTATGTTAATATCTAAATATTTATTTTTATTATTCTCAAAAGATTTATAAAAACCTTTTGATATTTAAACGATGAATTCTGGCTATTAATACAAACTTTGTATTATTTATCACTTTGTTATTCATCATAACTCCTAAAAATCATATATTTTTTTGCGGTGTGCTAATAATTTCATCAAAGGCTATCAATCCTCCTCCTTTTTTATCTTACACTGTTCTTTTTTGCACTGTGCATTCAATTAGTTTTGATTGTCGCTTCGCTTTTGTCTCTCGCACGTTGACGATGCTCAATTAAAGAAGTTCGCTCTATTGATTACGTTTAATGTCGATGACGAAGACGAAGACGCCTACCGCCCGGAACTCCCCCCTCCGCCGAGGGCGACTCCCAAAAGCAGTTCAAGTGAATGGTCAAACCTGTTTGCTCCGCGGACAGCGGCCACATCGAATCGTGGGCAGTTGGGGGCATGTGCACGAGCGGTAATAATAACAAAGTTGGAGCCGCCGGACGGCGACGACGACGTCGCCAACATTTGCTGAACGGTTGAA